GCAGTGTCATGTGGATAAAAAAGATCAGAGCGGTTTGCACTCTTTCCAACGTATTTATAGCTGGATGCCTAATCATGACACACACACAACCTTTTGACATTGAATAGTAGCACATTCAGTTATTGAAAGTCACTCTTTGCTTAATATAAAATAGCCGAGGTGGTGACAGGGATTGGGACCATCTGAATGGGGACCATCGTGTTCCTCATTGAATTATTACATAAGGGGATGCTTTCATTATGGGAATAAAGGGAGGGGTTAAATCCCACTCCTGTCACTGGCATTCCATAACAACAAATGCAGCCTTGATAACGCTTTTGGCATCGTGCTCCATGATTAAGTATCTCAGATCTCTGACAGCACCATCAGTCCACTTACTTATGGAATTTGTTTAGAGGAAGGGCTCATGTAAAGGGGCGGCGTTTTCTTCAGTCTATTTAAACCTCCTACTAACCTGGAGAGCAACAATTTTCCTGCTTTCTGTTGCTTAACAGGATAGACTCTCATCAAAATAACCAACTAGTCATACACTCTGAATTTTCTGAAGCTGTATTAGTCTATTTGGTGGTTACTTTTACACATTCATCCCAGAAGAATGGACTTCGACTTGCCTCCTTCTCTCCCGGTTAGCAGTATCCCATGGGAAAGGGTTCTCCCACCCTTATTCCCCCGATGTACCGGGACAATTGGACCTTATTCATGGACGCCGACCGAACTTTTAATCCCGGTTTCCGAACACACCGGTGCAGCACAGGTGGAGTAATACGTTTTATTAAAAAAATTCTCTGTTGTGACTTGTCACTATAAAATGCTATCTTTTTTATAATAAAAAAAAAAAAGTATTTTATTAATCTAAATGACGAAAAATCTTAGTTCTAGTTTTACAGTGGTAACAGTACATGTACATACTATGGAAAATTAATTTTTCAGTATAACAAATTTACTGCCTTTTAAAGTAATTATAAATTAAATATTTAAATGATTAAATTATAATTACTTGATATGAAGAATTAGTAGCAAGTGTATAAGAACAAGTAGTAATCATGAAAATATAAAGCTAAATAAATTCTATAAAATCTATTAAATATTTAATAAATACAAATGATATTTTAGGCATAGAAGAAAATACATAATAATAATAATAATGACCAATAAAATCTTAAATTCTCTCTGTAGTAGAGTTAGAAATGGATTATGTACTGGAAAATTAATTAAATTCATTTTCTCTACAGGTTACCTGTGATCATAATGGATTTACTGTGCAGGTTGATGTGAAACATTTCAGTCCCGAGGACCTGCTGGTTAAAGTTGTTGGAGATTATGTTGTGGTTGAGGGAAAACATGAACAAAAAAAGGTAAGACACCCAATGGCTGCTTCTTTTTAATGCTGACTCCTGTATTAATGTGCATTAGGATTAGCAGATGTGAAACCTGCTATAAAACACTTTGTACTGGACATCTGAGACCTGACGTTTAAGAGCATGATATATGTGCTTGTTCAATCCTAGGATGGTTCGGGACTGGTGACACGTCAGTTTAACCGGCGATACCGGATCCCAAACGGAGTGGACATCATGGCACTGGAATCAGCCATATCAACAGAAGGCATGCTAGTAATCTCAGCACCTCTGACACAAGGAGACAATTCCAGACTGTTAAATCACAGCAGACCATGATGTGCACACACACACACAGTTTCCTCCACACTCATGTTTAGATATTTATTTTTTTGCTCTTCTTCACTGTTTTAGTTCTTGACATGTTAATGCAAGGCGCTTAAAATTCCCATCCTCTGGGATTCTCACGTAAGGCAATGGTAAAGGCCAAAACAGACTGGCTTCCTCTCACTCCCCCTTGTGGCGGTGGACTACTCAACTCAAATGCCAACTCCAAACATACTTGATTTCAAGCCAACAAGAAAATCGTATCATATTTTCTTCACACTTGCTGTCAGTTTAGCATACAGCCTGTAAGAGCGACAAATTTGTCCTCGTGTTAACAGGGTCTCCTCTCCCAAACCCACAGTCATACTGAAACTGAATTTAGTATGGGAAACATTCAGAAATGACTTATTTTTGTGTTGTATCACACTTGCTTATTCACAAAATTGCACAGATTATTCAGTTAATCTTAATAGGTTATGTTAGGATTGTACATATTTTTACAAAATGAAATAATTATGTAAGTGTTCATTTAGTTCTAATATTTGTGTGATGTACAGATTGAATATCAATAAACATAATGAAACACCCTTGTTTATTTGCAAAGGTCTTTATTTAGAAATACAGTCATACATGTTTGAATCCACAATATAAAATGGCATAAATAGTAGCAAAAATAAACATGATAATGTGAAATGTATCGCATCATAACAGGTGCTTCATAGCTGCTGGAGCATCTTATCAACCTCACTGGAAAATAAAAAAAGTCAAAAGTCAAACTCGCATAGAGTAATTCATTAGTGAAGATTTGTGTGAAATATATATATGTCGTTAACAGATAATGTTTGAATCCACAATATAAAATGGCATAAATAAATAGTAGCAAAAATAAACATTATAATGTGAAATGTATCGCATCATAACAGGTGCTTCATAGCTGCTGGAGCATCTTATCAACCTCACTGGAAAATAAAAAAAGTCAAAAGTCAAACTCGCATAGAGTAATTCATTAGTGAAGATTTGTGTGAAATATATATATGTCGTTAACAGATAAACTGTAGATATTCTCACCAAAGTTGTTCCTTCACCCATTTCCTCTGCTGTCTGAGGACTTGTAACAAAGGATCGTCTTCAAACTCCTGCCCATCTGAGTCTGTGTGTAAGTTTGTGGTATCAGGATAAGGGGAAGAAAAAAAAATGTTTCCTTACCATTACCATTCAAAAGTTTGGGGTCAGTAAGATTTATTGTAAATTAATAAATTTTTTTAATGCAACAATGCATTAAATTTACCAGAAGTGACAGTAAAGATTTTTACTTTGTTACAATTTTTTATTACAAATAAAGGCTGCGCTTTTGAACATTATATTCAACCAAATCTGGAAGATTCAGCTTTTATATAACAGGAACAAATGACATTAAACATATATATTCAAACAGAAAACAGTTAATTTTTTTAAATTGTAATAATATTAAACAACATTACTGTTTTTACTGTATTTTTGACAAATAAATGCATCCTTGGTGAGAGATTTCTTTCAAAAACATTTAAAAAATCTTACCAAACTCAAAACAGATTTAAAAAAGGTTGTTTCTAGTAAAATAAAATAACATATAAATAATATGTAACATATTTAGTTAGTAATAAAACAAATGTTTTGAAAAAAAAAAATAAAAAAGACGTACAATATATACAATTTGTATAACTTCCATCTATATTAATGGTAACATGCATTCTATTGTTCTAAGCACACTCTAAAGGGTCAATCCTGCTATTTATAACAGGCTCATGCTAAAACACTTGACCCTCACGTGACCTGTTAAAAACACATCATCAGGCAGTTTTACAGCTAGTTTAAATGAATGCATGAGGCCTTCTTACCTTCTGCATCCTGCATGAGCTGACCTATGACCTCCAAGGGTTGCTGCACACCGGAACAAGAGGCCACAGGGGATTGTGGGGGTGAATGTGGGGTATATACTGGGGAATCTGAAGAACTTGGAGTCTTGCACTGGCTTGGTGAGTCTGTACCAGCAAAAAGCACCTCAGAGACAACCTGTCAATTTCAAGGACAGTGTTAACTTTCTTCTGTTCTGATGAATCACAAGTAAAAAAATTGTTTTAATGTTTTTGAAATAAGTCTCTTACGCTCATCAAGGTTGCACTTATTTGATCAAAGATACAGTAAAAACAGCAATATTGTGAAATATTATTACATTTTAAAATACCTGTTTTCTATTTGAATATATTTTAAACTGTAATTCATCCCTGTGATGCAAAGCTGAATTTTCAGCATCATTACTCCAGTCTTCAGTGTCACATGATTCTTCAGAAATCATTCTAATATGCTGATTTGCTGCTCAAGAAACATTTCTTATTATTATCAATGTTGAAAACATTTGTGCTGCTTAATATTTTGTGGAAATCATTATACATGTTTGCAGGATTCTTTAATGAACAGGAACTTCAAAAGAATAGCATTTATTTGTAATAAATTGTAATAAACTGTAACAATGTAAAAGTATTTTCTGTCACTTTTCATTGATTTAATGCATCCTTGCTGAATAAAAGCATTGATTTTTTTAAAAAGCGATATAGGTGCCATTTTAAATTAATAATTAAATTAATTTACTAACTTAGGGTTCAACAGCTTCAGAAACTTTTAATGCATCATAAAATAAACTCACAAACCTGTCCCAGAGCATTGTGTATAGGTGAGGGTGGTGGTGCTTGATTTCCAGACCGTCCTCCTCGTGTCGACCTTTGACCCTCTTCCTGCCACCTACTGTTTCCACTCAACTCCTCAGGTTTGCGACTGACCTCTTCATGACCCCTGGCATACCTGACCCTCATTGCACTGCTCCCTCGCTCGCCACCATGTCTACACGGACATGAAGAAAAGAATGTGCAAATGTTTAACATTAAAAATTAATAATACAATTACTTGTAATTAAACATCTGTCATGTTTTGCTTAGTTTGGTCCAAGCGGCAACCTCCCGCTCTCTCTCGTGAAACCAACACGGAAGTGACTTAAACTGTAATCAAAGTCTGATTTGGACAATAATGCAAAACATAAATTACCGTTCAGATTTTTTCTTTTGGCGTAAAGGTGCAATCTTCTTCTCCTGTCTCTCATTTTCAGTCTTTTCTTTGCCTGTTGTGTCTTTCTTACGATGAGGGGCTGGCCACCGCTCCTCTGTGCTATCAGAAGTCTGTGGAGATGGAGAAGAGGACCTCTGTGTTCTGCGGTGATCTGCTGTGGTCTCTGGGATGCTGACTTGTGTTCTGATTGGCTTGCGATGTTGTGGTTGGGCACAAGGGGTTTCCAGATTCTTTGTGACAGCTTTCCTGGAGGACAGTCTCTGCTGGGGAAGGGGTTTGGGTTGGATATCGGGGTCTGGTTGCTCGTGGGTGACATCGGGCCGGAGTCTGGAGATGCTGGGGCTTGACATAGGGAGAGGAGACTCAGGGACTGGAGGATCGAGGCTAGCGAGGGTGAACGGTGTGAATGAGAGGTTTGTTCTCTGATGAGGTGTGCGGTTTAAAGTGCTATAGTGTGCCTTCTAAAAGGAAACAAAGAAGAAGAATGTATTAATTAGAAATGTTCTTTGCATGAAGTAAATGTGAAAATCTAAAACTGGTGGGTCACTGTTTAGGAGAAAAAACAATGTTATATGTAAAATACAGAATGCAACTAACCTTATAACCATTTAACATTTAAAACAATTCCCATGTTTTATTGTTGATGTCATGGTAGTGCATTCAATGAAATATTATTATGGCACAAATTCATCTGATGGATGTCATTTAAAAAACACAAAGTATTTTCAGTATGAATGAGATGATATAATATCATACACAATATTTTCAAAAGATATTAATAATTAAAAATGCCATCTGTAGAATTTATTTTATTATAGTTCAAATTAGGCCAGTAAGTTTTACGAAAAAAATAAAATTTAATACTTTTATTCAGCAAGGACACATAAAATTTATCAAAAGTGACAGTAAAGACATTTACAATGTTAAAAAAGATTTCTATTTCAAATAAATTCTGTTCTTTTTTTAACTTTTTAACTAATAATTCTTAAAAATGTACCAGTTTCCACAAAAATATTAAACAGCACAACTGTTTTTAACATTGATAATAATAAGAAATGTTCTTGAGCATCAAATCAGCATATTAGAATGATTTCTGAAGGATCATGATCACACTGAAGACTGGAGTAATGATGCTGAAAATTCAGCTTTGCATCACAGGAATAAATTAAATTTTAAAACATATTAAAATAGAAAATAGTTATTTTAGATTACAATAATATTTCATAATATTGCTGTGTTTTACAGAATTTTTTATCAAATAAGTGCAGCCTTGCTGAGCATAAATTCTTTCAAAAGCATTAGCAAATCTTAGCGATCCCAAACTTTTGAAAATGATATTATATTATAGGATATAATTTAATATTATATTACATATTCTGAAACATTTAACTTTTGGGCACATATTAATCAAAAAGGAATAACCCTGATGTGCACTGTGGTGTTGGTTCACCTGGTTTGGTCCGACACTGTGTGATAGAGGTATATGGAGAACAGAATTGTGGGAAGGGGCCTCCTGACACCATTGTCTGGCCTGTTCCATCTTCCTTCTTAGTCGCCACTGAAACAGGATGTCATCTTCACGATGGACACCTGACCCCTCAGAACCAACCGCAAGAGGAGGAAAAGACGTTCCCTCGCACATACCGGGCTCTAGAACCACTTAAAGACACAAAAACAAACAAACAAAATGCTCTAATGCACTTTTATTGCACTAATAAATACCTAGCAGTCCAAAATGGCATGTATCTCCTTTTCTGTTTGTTTTTAGTTAACGGAGAATGTTTACACAACCATTTCTGCTTTTACCGCATTTGTGGTTAGGGGTGTGGGTACATTTTAATCTGATAAGGGTGTGTTTGTGAAATCGGAAACACAAAGATGTTCAGGAAACAATAAATAGTGCGTGTGTGTTACAAGATGTACACTAAATGTGTACACTCATTTATGTGTTACACCTGTTACTTACTGTTGGTTGAGCCCATTAAGGTGGACACGACTGGTCTTCGGACCGGCTCATCAGTGCTTACGGGGGAAGAGAAATCAGAGCAGCCCAGACCTCCAGAACTGAAAGGCACGGAGCCACTGCTGAGTGAATGCTCACCGAAAACACAAAGATCATCTAAACTGTTCAAACCTAATGACTCTAAAGTGAAATCCCAAGGTGGAATTAAACAATCAGGAATTTAACCCTGCTATAAAGTGATTTAAATTCCTCCTAACATTTATTTTTAGTTAACACATAGGAGCATCATTACTCCAGTCTTCAGTGTCACATGAACCTTCAGAAATCATTCTAATATGCTGATTTGCTGCTCAATATATATATTTTTTTTTATCAATGTTGAAAACAGTTGTGCAGCTCAAAATTTTTGTGGAAAGTGTGATACAGCATTTGTTTTTTAAATAGATTTTTTTTTTAACATTATAAATGTCATTACTGTAACTTTTGATCAATTTAATGTGTCCTTGCTGAATAAAAGTATTAAATCTTGTTTGATTGTGAAACGCCCGTATAAACTTTCACACTTGAACATTCAGTCCTGACATTCAGACAGGAAGCTGACTATGCTGGTGGTCATTTATCATTGTGAAATGACATTTCCCCCCTTGAGTGAGTGTGTGTTTACAGTATGTCTCACCTCCTCTGCAGTAAACGGCTGGCCCGCTCCTGTAGCTGCAGTATCTCTGGTTCTTCTTGATCACAGTGGGATGATTCAGATAATGTCTGGAAGGAAATTTGTGGTGGACATCCATGAGATTATCAACTACAATAATACTGTCACTAGCAATAACGGTCACTATACATGCAGTGTCATGACCGGGCACTGACATTTAATGACAGCCTGAGATATTTTCCACCAGGCACATTAAATCATCCTGAGGAGAGGACCACCAGCGACGTCCTGCAATTCAAAACAGGGAATCTGGGCCAAGGGTTGCATAACAACTCTCTGTTGTGGGGAATTTATAAATACACAACATTTGATGCTCAACAGAGACCATTTTATATCAGCTGGTCTGATTATATTTGAGTGAGTTCTTCTTCCTTTAATGCTGAGGCATTCTAGAGCCGTTTCCATCAACATGGAAGACAGAAAGTTAAGCAAAGTATCACAATATTGCGCCTGCTGATCTGTGCAACATGGCAACATTATAAATCAGAGGTCAATTAGTTTGTTTCATTTTGTTTATTATTAGGTATTTAGTCAGTTTACCTATTTATTATATAATAAATAAATTATAAAATCACACACACACAGTTCAAAGGTTTGGGGCTTTATAGGCTGCATGTATTTGATCAAAAATACAGTAAAAACAGTAATATTGTGAAATATTATTACAATTTAGAAGAACTGATTTCTATTTTAATATATTTTAAAATGTAATTTATTTCTGTGATCAAAGCTGAATTTTCAGCATCATTACTCCAGTCTTCAGTGTCACATGATCCTTAAGAAATCATTCTAATATGCTGAAGGAAATATTTATTATTATCCATTCTGAAAACAGTTGTGTATAATATACACATATATATTAATTCCGTAATATACTTAAGGAATTTTATCAGGAATCTTTGAAAAAAGTTAAAAAGAACAGAATTTACTTGAAAAATAAACCTTTTGTAACATTGTAACCGTCTTTAATGTCACTTTTGATCAATTTAATCCTCGCTAAATAAAAGTATTGATTTCTATCCAAAACAAAATCTTACTGAACCCAAACTCTAAGAACAGACGTGTATATATTGTAAATAAAGAACCTCATGGAGGAAGATTTTCCAGCTACCACCACTAGACGGCAACAGTCAACCACCACACTGCTTAACATCCGGCATCTTGAGAAAATACATGTCTAATTCTCTCATTTTTTTTACTTCATGAACACAATTCAACTGCAACATATAAAAGACATACAGTAATATAACAAACTGTTAATTGTTTGTCATACTCTTTAAAATACGGTCAAAATGCATTGAGCTCTTTTAGGCAAATCAGTTGTTCAATTTTATGCAAAACTCACCAGCATGCTAAGGTCAAGCATGAGTCTAGCTGGAGACAGCGTGGTTTCATCGTGCAGTGGCTTTGAGATGGTTCTCTGGGTGCTGGCGGGCTCATCGTTCATGAGATCAAGTGGTTCTATAAACAGGACATACATACACAAGAATGACTCTAATTACAAAGAAAACTGAACTGAAATACTTTATATTATCAACCCACACTGAAACATCATTATTAATGACAGATGTATTCTTCAAAGCACACCTCTGATATATTTCTCTGATGGTTGTGTTGGTGTTGAACTGGATGGAGGGGATGTGGGCATCCACCAAAACGGCTGGTCATCTTCTCCCTCAGTTGCCTGAAGGCGTCTTTCTTCTCGACTCTGTGGCTTTCCGAAGCGGAAGCGTTCAATGTACCTTGAAGGATTTAATTGCAAAAGGATGTCATATAATTAACAAGCAACAACATACCCTTTCAAGGCAAACATAAAGCTTGCATTAAATACCCTGGACCTGCTCATCTGAGAATAATGAGTCACTACATGTGGCAACATTACTTCAGCTTTCCTTTAAAGGGGTCATATGATGCAATTTCAATTTTTCCTTTCTCTTTGGAGTATTACAAGCTCTTGGTGCATAAAGAAGATCTGTAAAGTTGCAAAGACTAAAGTCTCAAATCCAAAGAGATATTCTTTATAAAAGTTAAGAGTCAGCCACGCCTACCTAAAAGAAGATACTGTTGATATTTCAAATGAATGGTTCACTGCGTAGCAAATGGTGAGTGAAATTACTGTATTTTAGACACCAAGGTCCACTTCCAGATGTAAATCTCAGTCAGTTTTTCTTTTTGCAACAGACCTACCATGGCCAAGATTTTTAATGTATTTTAATGTACTTATTTAAAATACATTAAAAACAGTAATACTGTGAAATATAATTAGAATTTCAAATCATTTCAAATAATTGTTTTCTATTTGAAATTTTAATATGAAATTTATTCCTGTGACGTAATGCTGAATTTTCAGCATCATTACTCCAGTCTTCAGTGTCACATGATCCTTCAGAAATCATTCTAATATGCTGATTTGCTGCTCAGGAGATATTTCTTATTTTTAAATCAATGATGCAAACAGTTCTGCTTCTTAATATTTTTGTGAAAATCAGGATAATTTTTTTTTTCAGGAGTCTTTGATGAACAGAAAGTTCAAAAGAACAGCATTGGTTTGAAACAGAAATATTTTGTAACATTATAAATGTCTTTTTTCTGTCACTTTTAGTCAATTTAATGCATCCTTGCTAAATAAAAATTATATATTTTTTAAAGAAATCACTAACTCCAAACGTTTAAACTGTAATTTATCTCTCTTAATATAGTAAATAGTTGGACATGATACCATCGTTGCTTTGTTTGTGTTGAACGCCATGCCAGCTTCTGTGGTTATTTTCATTGCGAAAAAAATGTATGGCTAAATTATATCAGGTTTTTAGAATTTATTTTCGCTAAAAACTGTATTTGGCTAAACTCTGTTAAAAATCTCTTCAAAAGAGTTAACTGAATAATAAAGTTTTTCCATCCTTGCTTCATGGGGTGAGTAGTTCAGATGAGCCTTGTTTACCAATTTTACATCATTCTATTGTTTTGAATCAAAAGGTTTATTTATAATCAAAAGTGACATTGCCATTAGAGAACAATGGTTTCCCTTACTTTGCAAGAACTGAGGGTTCCTTTGCCTCAATTGTCGTGCTTCTCATGGCTTGCATCTGAGCTTCAGAGCAGGCAGAAGTGTTAGTGTTGTCTGTAGAGCAACTCAGGTCAGTAGAAGGCCAAGACTCGGAGTAGCTCAGCTGGCGTTCAGTAGTAGGAGGGCAGAGCAGGACAATACGTGACCTTTCATGGCAGACCTGGTCCTCGGTCCTCAAAGGTGACGCCTGAGTGGGAGGATCTGAAGGACTGGGTGGCTCAGTAAACCGGACAGGACTCAAGGCCTGCAAAGTGCAATCCAAAAAAGACAACATCACCATGTGTTTTTGCAAGTTAAAGCTTTGTTTTTCCAATCTCAGCCCTTTCAATTGCTAGCTATCATTGCATTGAGACACCAATAATTTGTTAATGCAGTTCAGATAAGGACTAGACTAGAAACTAGACAACTAGTTACTAAATAGTGCACAGTACATGAATACTATTTAAAAAATAGTATTTGATATACAATGCACTATGCAATGGTGAACGTTTCAAGAAGAAATACTTTCTATATTGACGTTTTTGTACTTTAAAAATCAATTTGTTTAGAATTCAAGATGTGAGAACTGTGAAAGAAATGTGCAGAATTTAAAAAAAAACATTGAAACTGTATCCAATGCAAACCATGAAAGTCACAAAATATAAAGATACATGAAGTGCAGAGGAAAGACACTACTCTCACCAGTCTTTTTTGTTGCTTTGGGATGTTTTTGGATCTAGATGGACTGTAGTGGCTCCTGGACAAAGGGGGATCCGGAGGAAATGGCTTCTGTCTTGTGAAAACAGCTGCGCCGCTAAGAAATTGAAAAGTGACAAAGTGTTTCACATCAGCCTGATGTAATCAAGTTTAATCTGACAGGATTTGACATCCAACCCACCTTGATCTCATAGCGTTCGTGCAAACCTGTTCTGCTTGATAAAAACATAGGACGCAAGTGGAGTTTCGTCATACTGTAGGATCCATGAATGTCTAAATAAAGACACAACAGTTTAACGAAACTACATTATGATCCGAATGACTGTTTCTGTGTTGCATGAGTGTATCGTAACCGTCGCGTGATTACGTTACTATGGGATTAAACGGTCTTTTAGCTCACTATTAATACATGTCTTGATGTTTTGTACCATAGTTTTACCGGATCCTCGTGGACCAACAATGAGGACCGAGTTACTCTCTCCATGAACAGCTGTACGTCTCAGCAGCTCCAGCATGTGCCTACACACACACACACACACAGTGTAAGAATCCACACACACACACACACACACAGTGTAAGAATACATACACACACACACGCACACACACAGAGAGAGAGAGAGAGAGAGAGAGAGAGAGAGAGCTGGGTAGATTACTCACCAATTGTCCATTACTGATTAAAACTGTAGTTAGTAACGTAATCTAGGTTACTCATTTTAGGTAATGTATTCTGACTATTTTTTAGATTACTTTTTATCTACCTTGTTTTAAACATACTATTAAATGTACCGTATTGATATGATAAAGCAAAGAGAAAGAAAATATATTCTTTTTTTTTTTTTTAAATCAACATCGTAAAATGTTTTAAACATTACATTACGTCAGGGTTTCCCCACCTGGGCTTAATGTAAGAACTGCAGCAGGTTTGTGAGTTGATAAAAAGGTAATAATAACTAATTAAATCATAAAATATGTCAAATAAATAATTTAAACACTTGAACACTAAAATTATAAATAATTTGCTTACCTGCATGTCAATGTGACCCTTAATCAACGGCAGTGATCTGTAAACATGCGAATGTGTGTTAAATTATTGAAATATTAACTTCCTCAGAGATATTTCAAGTAAATATTTCATGTCAAAGGGTTTTGTCTGACAAAAACGTTTGGGAATCTCTGTATTACATGAACAAACATGAATGAAAACAGCAATGACATTACGTGCTCAAAGTCTTTCAGAATTAATAAATTATCAATGATTTACTGCCATTGTGTGAATAATATGTAATCAGGTAATCCATAAAAAAGTAACTGTAATCTGATTATGAGCATTATAAAATGTAATGTTCTCTAATTATGAGTACTTGATTTTTGGAATCTGATTATGTAATCCTGATTATGTACCCAGCTCTGTATATATATATAATTAGTATATATAGAAGATGTAATAATTATATTTGTATTGTAGATTCAGAATGTAAATCATAATTGTAAATGCAGTACACACACACACACACACACACACACACACACATATATATATATATATATATATATATACGTACATATTATTATTATTAGTAGTAGTAGTAGTAGTATATATGTAGTAGTAGTAATTATGTTTGTAGATACAGATTGACAATACACTATACACTGTAAATGCAGCGTTTATATATACACAGTATATATATAATTCCTGTAATGTGAAGCTGCATTTACAGTATCATTACTCCAGTCTTCAGTGTCACAAGATCCTTCAGAAATAATTCGAATATGCTGATTTGCTGCTTAGGAGACATTTCATATTTTTAATCAATGTCGCAAACAGTCGTGCTGCTTAAAATGTTTTTGTGAAAATCATGATACATTTTTCTCAGGAGTCTTTTGATGAACAGAAAGTTCAAAAGAACAGCATTTGTTTGAAATAGAAACATGTTGTAACATTATAAATGTCTTTACCATCACTTTTAGTCAATTGAATGCGTCCTTGCTAAATAAAAGTAATAACTTCATTTAACTAACCCGAAACGTTTAAACAGTAATTTATATCTCTAAATATAGTCAATAGTTGGACATCATACCATTGCTGCTTCATGGGATGAGTAGTTCAGATGAGCCTTGTTTTCCACTTTTAAAACATTTGATTATAAAGGTTTATTTATAATTAAAAGTGATATTGCCATTAGAGCACAATGATTTCCCTTACTTTGCAAGAACTGAGGGTTCCTTTGCCTCAATTATTGTTGGTGCAACCATGTTTCTCATGGCTTGTATCTGAGCTTCAGAGCAGACAGAAGTGTTAATGTTGTCTGTAGAGCAACTCAGGTCAGTAGCAGGCCAAGACTCGGAGTAGCTCAGCTGGCATTGAGTAGAAGGAGGACAGAGCAGGACACTACGTGATCTTTCATGGAAGACCTGGTCCTCCGTCCTCAAAAGTGACGCCCGAGTAGGAAGATCTGAAGGACTGGGTGACTCAGAAAACCGGACAGGACTCAAGGCCTGCGATGTGCAATCCAAAAAACAACATCACCATGAGTTTTTGCAAGTTAAAACTTTGTTTTTCTCATCTCAGCATTCGCAGAAGAGACTAGTGTACTACTAAATAGTGCACAGTGCATACTGTAGAGAATAAAATGCACTATGCAATGTCGAATGTTTCAAGCAGTAATACTTCCTATATTGCAGTTATTGTACTTCTCTAAAAATCTATTTGTTTAGATCGAAATGTAAAAATTGTGGGGGGAAAATGTAGAATTTGTCCAATGCAAACCAAGAAAGAGTCACAAAATACACAGGCACATAAAACATAAAGTGAATGCAAAGCCAGTTCTCTCACCAGTCTTTTTTGTTGCTTTGGGATTTTTCTGGATCTAGATGGACTGTAGTGGCTCCTGGACAAAGGGGGATCCGGAGGAAATGGCTTCTGTCTTGTGAAAACAGCTGCGCCGCTAAGAAATTGAAAAGTGACAAAGTGTTTCACATCAGCCTGATGTAATCAAGTTTAATCTGACAGGATTTGACATCCAACCCACCTTGATCTCATAGCGTTCGTGCAAACCTGTTCTGCTTGATAAAAACATAGGACGCAAGTGGAGTTTCGTCATACTGTAGGATCCATGAATGTCTAAATAAAGACACAACAGTTTAACGAAACTACATTATGATCCGAATGACTGTTTCTGTGTTGCATGAGTGTATCGTAACCGTCGCGTGATTACGTTACTATGGGATTAAACGGTCTTTTAGCTCACTATTAACAAGCTATACGCTATTTAAACTCTCAAAAACAAACTATATCCGAATATAACCACAAGCTCATTGCAAATTTGTTGTTTAGTTTGATGTTTCTTAAAAAAATGATCTCCGCTTACTTTTCGAATTGTGTGACTGTGTTGTATCCTGGGATATGTAGTCCGACAACTGTTGTTTACATTGTTGTCGAAGACAGTTGACCAGCCAATAGAGGTTCGTATTTTGTGATCGACAGCAAATTGAACCAATAAGAGCGCTGCGCTCTCATCCGCTGCAGCCAATGACGAGACAGGAATCTCATTGCGCGCGGAAGAGGAATGTCGGATTGTGACAGAAGCGGCTCGTCGTCAGTCTCTCAGCGAAGGGTTGAAAGGTGAATAGCGTGTTGGTTTGTATTTATAAAGTGTTTTCCGCTCCTAAATAATGTTATTTAAAATATTGTTATTTTTCAGGGATTTATGAAGTCGGCGAAGAGTTAATCAGGAATTTAATTGGTTTTCTAGCTAGCTAACATCAGCCGTTTATATCATTGTAGCTGATTAGCAAAATAATACTGTCTTTTTAACGTTACTTGTTTTTCATACTCCCTGTGCGTTCTCTTTTGCAAACGTTTGTACTGATTTACCGAAAAAATGTGTGTATATATATATATATATATATA